TCAGTTTATCTATATTTTTTGGAAATAAATAAGTGTCAGGTCAGAACACTAACTCCCATGTTGGCACGCGAGAGACACGTTCAGATTCCCACTCCTACGGACACGACGGCGACGTCGGCGCCGGCCGCCGCCTTACGAACGACATTTGACGTCACCACAACCCCACTGGCTTCTTGACTTCTTGGCTGTGAGACGACCGCACGATCGAATTACGTCGCGATTTACTTAAAATACAGCACCTATAGTATACAGTCTGTCTTTTATTGAGCCTCATGACCCTTCATTATAATCCGGCTCGAAGGACCATAGAAAAGGTTCGACAGCACCTATGAAGTAGCTGGAGGAGGATGCTTCATAAGTGCTGTTGTCGAACATTTTCTAAGATAACTAGTAAACAATGCCTGGTGCATTGTTTTACCAATCTGTAGGTCCAATCAGTTTGTAATCGAAGAACTTATTCCAAAAGCCAGCTTTCAACACCTGTGAATTATAACAATAAAAAAAAATTACCTATTCAAATGCTGCTGACTTAGTAATATGCAACATTTGAGTCATCTCCATCATACTTTTCAAGCATTAAGCGGCACCAATCTAAATGACCACGTTATTAATGATCCGACGAATTATCAATCTAATACAAAGCTTTTTGATACCTTAATAAATGTTTATTTTAAATTGACTTTTTCGCGTATTCTTATAAAGAAAATTTAAAGACTACCTCTTGACAAACTTCTTCTTCTCCTCTTTTATTAATGGCTTATCTGCGCATTTCGCACAATCATGTCAATTTCAAGTGTATAAATTAATTTCTACATGTTCAATGAAAAAAAAATTTAGGAGACGGGACTCCCATAGAACGACTCTACATGCAACGCCAGAGTTTAGGGAGTCTTCACCAACCTAACAATATGAATGCTACCAACATAAAAAATACTAAGTGGTGATGTCAAAGGATAATTTATCGATAATCAGATTTTTTGGGAATAGTATTAAATAAAAAGGGTGCTTGCTGTTCCTTTGGTGTTGAATTTCTATCACAATTACCATGATTTTCCAACTCGTTAACTCGAAGTCAGTTAAAATATTACAGTTAAAATTATAAAAGTTAAATTTTGATAAAAAATTAATTCAGTAGAAATTTCTGCATGAAAACCAAAAGATCATGTAGCACTATAGTATAGAACAGTGGTGGGCAAACTTTTTTAATGGGGGGCCACAAAGTTTAAAAAATTCTAGAGGAGGGCCAGAATTATAGAAAATACTTTTTAGACAGAATTATAGAATAGAAAGGACTTTTTAAAGCTTTTAATAATAATATTATAAAAACATTATGTGAGCATTGCAGTGCATTACACACAAATGTTACAAATTACCTTTTACCTTGAATAATAATTAATTTAACTTTTATTCGACGGCCCTGCCATGTTAGGCGTGTGAGACACATGGAATTGTTTTTGATTGAATTCACTTGCCCCCGCCACCCGCTCCGATCGTTTCACTACTCTGCGCCCCGTATTACGCAAAACATTAATTACTCGGCTAGTTTAGCTTCACCTATTAGTTATGCATCTATTATTGTACCAAGTAGAATCTACTTTTGACTCCTCGACCGTCAAAACGTAATTAATTATAGCGGGCCATATACTATCCTATATCGATGGACCCTCGGCGGGCCGGATTAAATAATATTGCGGGCCGGAGTTGGCCCGCGGGCCGTACTTTGCCCATCACTGGTATAGAATGTAACAGAGCCTGAGTCTTTATAATATGCAAAGCACATAAACATAACTTTCGACGTATCCTTTTATGAAAAATCAAATATTATTGACCTGGGACAAAGAAATATCTATCATTAATTAAATCTAATAAGGCCCATAAATAGTCAATCATACCCACAAAAGTACAGTTGAAGTCACTGCATGTCTTTTTTATTATTGTCTTTATCCAGAAACGTTTATAGGAATATATGCCAAATCTTCATTGCCAATTACTTTTATCCATTCCTTACAGCTGAAAAAAGGATATTTAAAGTATCGACGTTTTTACTTTGTTCCTTCCATCATTATTTTCCAAATAACCGTAAAAGATAATTAATTATATTATTAGTAATTAATAAGTTGTTTAGTAATCAAAAACATTCAATCATTATATATTTGATTTATTATTATTAATATCTTACTGATTTTTGTCTAAAGATAAAAAGGTCTTTTCACTGCGAAAATTTTATTAAAAATTATATTAAATTAGCTTTGTCTCACAAAATACAAACAAACGTTAAAATGAACCTGGGGGCCAATTCTACTAAATAAATTTTGTTTAACTCGACAACATTTATTTAGTAGAATTGGTAGAACTGAGACCAAAGTTTAGTGTTGAGACGTATTTACAGTATTTGGAATGTTTTTGATTGAACGTCTAAATACTAGCAGGCGAAATAAGTAATTACTTGAGAATATGCCATAACTTATATAGTTTTACCAAATAAGAACTGATCATTGTTAGAATAATTATATTATTAGCTATTCAAACTCTCTTCTATTGGCTAAAAATATTTGCATAAATTATGACATTTTCTCAAGTAATTCCTCCTCTCGATTAAAGATACGAGTGTAAATATCGAATTACACAAATTCGGAGACTCAAAGACGCGGAAACGTGGCCGTAGTCGGTCGGGTCCGCGTCGTAGAGTAGGTATTATTGTTTAGGATACGCGTTCGGTCTAAGTGTTAGCGAGTTTACTCATTAAAATTTATTATCAACCTTAATGTTTTGTGTTAAATCCGCTTTTTGTATGCATTGTGATTAGATAAGCGTTTAAATAAATTATATATGCGACTATTAAAGTATTTTAAATTTTTCTACTGAATTCTAATTATTCCTAATCCTGTTAAAGCATGACGGAATTTCTCGATTTGAATAAATACCTCAGATTGTAAGTTTTTGAACTTCAGAATGTCAATATTACGTAGTATAATTTGCTACTTCATTTTTGCTTATTGTGCTTTGTGTAATTCATTGTAACTCAGAATATTGTGCAGAGGAAATATAAATGTTTATACACGTAATCAAAAAGATAGTAAAGTAAAGACTTCTAAATACCCGTGGATTAGGTTTATGGAATAAGTATTTTGGCCTACTCGTTATTGCAAGACTCCCATAGAGCAGCTACGAGCGAGCGACTACTCTTATTCCACCATCCTAACGCTAACTTTCCACCAATATAACAACTCTCCCCAAACTATGGCGATTTTTTTTGTATGGAGTTGCAATAGACTGCATACTTAATCAGGGAGTTTGCTTAGGGTTCGACATTCCACAAATTCCTGGGTCATCGCCATCTATTATTCATTTCATTTTCATTTTAAATGTAGAAATTAATATATTCTATTCTTAATGAAAAATGTTTAAGAAATCCATTTTTTCCATGGTGCCAGTGACAAACAAATAATATAACATTGAATGTAAATATAACATTGTGAATGCAAAATTACTCAAATATATTAATAAGAATAAAGCTTCTTCTCGGGCACTGTGGACTATTTTTCAATTACACAAAGTGAATGCAAAATTTATCAAATACATTAATTTATTCTCTTAACATTGGCAGAATTGTGGGAAATACGTAGATAAGCCTATAAAAGAAGTAGAAAAGTTTGCTTGGACCATTAATGTACACTATGGCACGAGATGGGGTCACGTCCATTAAGCAATAGAAGTTTAATTTAACATTGTCGATGAGTAAGGGCGGAACGAAAGTCGTAATATCTTATCATTGAAAAAATCTTTTCTCTAATCAAATCCATTGTGATGTGACGCACGACAATTTTAAATGGCCACCAATTCATTAAAATAAATAACATATGAATTCCCAAAAACTTTCTAATTTGAAACTTTAATAAATATTTGATTCACATTTACAATGCTATACCTACTGAAAATTATTCTTAATATAAAATACTCTAATACTCAAATAAATGTTTTATCTTTAAAGTTCATTTTTACCATCTTCGCTTTTCTTTCAATTTTACTGTTTATTAATTTTCAGTATGTGCCAATATTATAAAAGTTATTCAGAATTAAAATTGTGTCGTTTCGGGAGAGTACGTGACAGCAGTTATAAGGAAGGAGATTATAAGGAAAAATTCTGTTAATGAGTTAGCGAGACAACAATAAGGCGTATAAATTTTCAATAGATTAATGAGCTGAATAAGTAACTATCTAACTACCCATACTTACAATAGGTATTATATTGGTTAGTTTAAGGTTCCCAAAACGGATTTCGAATCTCTCTATCCATCCTCAAATTTACCCAATTAATTTCAAACTCTTATTTTTAACATAATTATTCAAATCGAGTTTGAATAACCTGACGTGTGATTGACAATATATTTGCTACCAGTCTGTATTTTTGGAAAATAAAATGACAATGGAATCGTTCTCATCAAGGCTCGAAATAGAAATAGTTAAGAATTAGCAACACTCATTTTCAAAATTAGTTCCCACGTGAAAACTAATTAGGTACGTTTTAATTTGAAAAAATGCCTAAAACAATAAGCTCAAAGATTATAAAAATAAGGCTCATCAGCAACCAAGTCACACACTCTTAACATTGCTACCAGCACTTGTTATGGTGCTTTATGTTCATATTTTTCCTTATTTTGTTTACCTAAAGTCAAATATTTATTTTAAAAAGTATACTTTCTTTTCATTGCAAAAATACTAATTCATTACTAAGCTGTTATCCATGTAGCGACATCTTGAGTCTAGTAAATAAACTGTTGAGCCGTTCACCGACCATGCGCAGTTCAATAATGAGCTAAATTAATCTTTCTACCAGCCGCTAGATGGCATATTAAATGCAACTAGTGTATTAAATAAAATATTTTTTCAAATTATAATCATTAAAGCAATATACATACTTTAAAATGCAAATCGTCTGCTTTTAAATTAAAAACATGAAATATGAATGTGAAAGCAAAGTGGAATGTGGCAGTATAAATTTAAACCTTTTGCCTTTTCTTAAAAAAATAAACAACAAAACATAAAATGTCTTTTTGACGTGTGTAAAATACCAAAACACGCACGTGTGATAAAATGCGTATAGAAACTTGTTATTTCTGTTCCTCCAGGATATATCCTGGCCACGGAATCCAATTTGTGAGGAATGACTGTAAAGTAGGTTAAAAAGCAATCATTTATTAGTAATGTGTTGTATCTTAAGATTGCCCTAACCACAACTTTCGCAGATTTTCAGGTTCTGTCGTTCAAAATGTCACGCAGCATTCAAAAAGAAGAAGAATCCACGTAAAACCAAATGGACTAAAGCTTACCGCAAAACAGCTGGCAAAGAGTTGGCCATCGATCCATCGTTCGAATTTGAAAAACGTCGCCACATACCAGTGAAATATAATAGAGAATTATGGACGAAGACCATAGAAGCTATGAAGAAGGTGGAAGAAATCAGACAGAGAAGATCCAACAACTACATAATGCAAAGGCTGAGGAAAGGCCGTGAAGTTGAGTGGCAAAGAGATGTTAGAGAAGTACAAAGGGATATTTCACTTATCAAGTAAGTAAACTAACCGTAATACTTCATGACCTGTATCCCTTCTGATTTTTAGTATACAATTTAACCATGCCCACTTATTGTTAATTTTCTAATTTATTCTGGATTTATTATGTTTAAGTAATATAAAAAGTATTCTTGAGATTGTATGTTGCACAATATGATACAAATACTAATATTTTGAATTATTAAGATGTAAAGTATACTTATATAACATTTATAGATCTTTTTCATGTGACTTATTACTTTCTTACATAAAGAGATTATCTTTTTTATATTTTTTAAAATACATTTACAATAAAGAACTTTAGTTGACAGATTTATATATATATAACTTGACTTAGATTATCTTACCTCTTACTCCTATATCTCTTTTCTAGGTATCTCTTTTTAGTATTCTACACTTTTCCTTGTCAGTGCTGTTACTATATAATTCTTCAAGTCTATAAATTTGTACATCTTTAAAACAAACAGTCTATTGCCTACTCCTCAAGGAATATGGTGTAAAGATTACTAGTTAATTGTCTATTTAAACAATGATCTTTTCAAACATTTTAGTTTACCACATTTTAAAATTTAGTGATGCTTAAAGAAACTAAGAAATTTATGAAATAGAATAAAATATTAAGATAAAAAATTCAAGTTGTAAAAATGTTCTCACTTGCGAAACACAAGCCTTCCCTACAGATGAAATCATATTGAATAACAATATTTTATTTTCAATATCTATTAATGTTAGCTAATACAAAAGAAAAAGAATCTATAATTTAAAATGTCACCAGGTCACCTGCAGCTGGTCTTAAACAACGTCAAGCTGCTGAAGAAACAGAAATGGAAGTGGAACCTGAAACTATTGAGGTTGTGGATGCTAAAGGTCGCAAGCAAGTCATTGAGGCTCCAGTTATGGTACCAGCCACAGGGGAGATGATTGAAGATGGTGGAGTTATTGATTTATAATTTTTTAGCAAGTTCAATATTCTTAACAAAAGAGTGGATGAAATTGATTAGTTTCATATCTCATTTTTACATCATTCTGCTACATAATGAAAAACAGACTCGTGATGAGTTAGTTTATATGAATGTTAAGTGTTCTCTCAATAGTGTTTTTGCAAATAAATATTAACACAGGCGATGAAATGGTTTTAATATCCTTCTTTTGAATGTTTTTCCTATTTATAATTTTTTAATACTTGGATCAGTACATTGCAGGTTTTTGTGATTTAATTTGTGGATGAAATTTATACTTATTCTATAAACAATACCAATAATTTCAAAGTCGCACTAAATAAATATTAGATGACATCATATACAATGCTCAAGTCCCTAATTAAATGTAGCTTAACCGTTGATATTATAGAAATTTCGAACAATAGTTACTAACCCAGATGTGAGGCAATATCGACAATTTTATTTTCTTAAAGGATTGGTTTGGACGGAGTACTGCATCCCTGTTCTGAGCAGTAGCCTCAAAAATAAAGATAGCTGAAGCTGTCCAACCTCTGATAGGAGTGGCATATCAAGAAGAAAATTTTCTTAATTCGATTCGGGGATCGAAACCGTGACATCAGAGCTTGCGGCAACTTATAACCTGTGTACGAGTCACTGCTGCGGAGGTAGTCAAATATTCATTCATTACAATTTATTGCGTTAAAATATTCGACACAGGTGCCAATTATTTAGATACCTACACTGTTCTAATTTTGATATTGTCCTGGATCTTTTATATTGTCACGCAATATTCCGTTACGTTACAATAATGTTAATATTGATTTATACCGAGTCAGACTAATCTTCTTAAGTCATTAGGCATAGGTTGTAAACCTTTTTCAATAGACGGAATAATACAATACATTGACGTTAATTCTTAACGTTCTTCATATTTTGATTAAGTTCCAGATTAAACAATAAAGTTATACCCAAAAGGGTCGAATTTCTTAAATAATTGTAATATAAAGTTCTCAATTGTTTACAGAAATTTGACATTTTTAATAGGCTGGTATAGTAGGTACTTACTACGTAGTGTAGTGGAAAGTTAAAAGATAGAACTCTCACCATTATCATATGTCACTTAAATGGTTAGAATGATTACTGAACCACTTTTAAGTATATAATTCTTCTTTTTCAACATACAATATAATTTCTAATAATAAATCTTGCAGTTACAAATAAAGGTTTAGCGCTCCTCACTAATTCAATTACCGGTGTTTGAATTAAATTACATCACAAAATCATTTCTATAGGACTTGTACTGGATAATACATATTGAGTCTTGTTTATTTCTTTCTTTTAATTTTATATAAAAGTTATTGCGCTAAAATGTCTGTTTATTCATGTTTAATAAGTTTTGTTGTGGCCATAATGTCTTATATGATGTATCAACGTTATGCCAGAGAATATAGTAGTTTAATATTAAAACCGGACAAGCGATATGATTACATTATTGGTGAGTTTTGTTTTCATTTAAATTATTTTAAACGCCTAAGAAAATAGTTACGGCAATATTTAAGTGAGTTAATTAATTTGCGTCTGTATCGATCAACAAAATCAATATTGATGAAATATCGTGGCGTACAAAAACGTATATGTGCAATTATACTAATTGTGTGTGATAATATACAAGTAATATTACCTAAGTGTAAATGCTTGTAAAACCACGCATGTAACAAACAGGAAGCTAATATTAAAGTCAGTTATGTATCTAATAATGTATGTTTCCCATACAACAATATAATTATAACCTACCAAATAAGCTATTCAATAATAGTGATCAATAAGCCGCCTATTTTTATATACCTAGGTAAGATACTTATGCAAAAAATAACTATCATTCATTAAAAAATACAGTCGGTGCGGGAACTGCTGGTTGTGTGCTAGCCGCTCGCCTCTCAGAAGATCCTGGTACAAAAGTACTGTTAGTAGAAGCAGGTGATCACATGAGTTACTTCACAAAGATCCCTCTTACTGCTACCGCTGCGCAACAGGGTCCGAATGACTGGTCAGTAAGGACCACGCCGCAAAAGTACTCTTCATTCGGCCTTTGGAGACAGGTTAGCACTTGAATAAATTTACTGGTGAAGTTTTTTAATAAAAATAAATATTTCGGGTTGCACATACATAGGCCTTAACGACCTGGACTGGCCTGGTAGGAAAGAAGCAGTAATAAATAAAAAATATAAACTTGTAAAAGTTACAAATGGGAGTGACAAGGCTTGGCCTATAGTGATCGATAGCATAGACTCTGATAGATATGCAAATACTTTGTAAGAAGGATGCATATTAGCTCGGTGGCGTAGTGGATAAGCGCCGCGGCCCGCGATCGTTATCGTTAAGCAACTTTCGCAAGGGTCGGTCACGGGATGGGTGACTAAAAAAAAATTATTAATCTCGAGCTACTTCGTGCTTCGGAAGGCACGTTAAGCCGTTGGTCCCGACTGCATTTGCAGTCGTTAATACCCTCCAATCCGCGTGGAGGGTCATGGCCCATCCACCTTAACCATCCACAAGGAAGGCCTGAGCCCCTGCAGTGGGGACGTAAAAGGGCTGGTGGTGAGGATGCATAAAAGCGACTTACTGGAGGAATTAAACAATTGTTGGTGGAGATAATAACTACTCATGAATACTCCACTCAGATTTTAAGTTTGTTACCTACTCGATATAAGTTTACCAGGAACCATACAGAAATACATCACTTTTATAGCATTATCTACTTTCGCTAGCTTAGTTCTGAAGTACCTACCTACTTAGACCTAACTGGCCAAAGGTGATTTAGTTCCTTATAATGTTATGTTATAGAGACAATTTCTCCCGCGGGGCAAAGGTCCAGGAGGGTCAGGTCAGATAAACTTCCTCCTCCATGGATTCGGCCTTCCCGAAGAATACGAGAACTGGTCCCGTCTAGGCTTCAGAGGGTGGACATTTGAAGAACTTAAACCTTACTTCATCAAAGCATTCGGCACCGTGCGAAACGAATTTGATTCTGATCATTGTTCTGTGGATGGGGATTGTCCAGGGCATACAGTAAATATAATACATTTTTAATAAATAATTAATATCTCGCATTGTTTTGATCCTAATCAAATAAGGATATGTCGTGTTTGAAACAATGGGATTCATTACACTAGGTACACGTAGAAACACGATAATAGCAGCAATAAACACAATTCCATACATAGTTTTAGTCACAGAATATAAAAAAGAGGTTTTATACCACGACACTATTCCTTGTCGTCTATCCGCTAAAATTATTTCAATATATCCACATACATTTTTCAGTATGTATCAGGTGGTAATTGGTAAATATTCGACAATTTTCGTAAGTAAACATGTTCAATACTATCTTAATCTAAGTCTAACAAATCCTATTCAAACTAAAATTGATAGGTTTCTACAGCAAGCGAATATCTTTGATGATTCCCCTCCAGGTTCCAATGAAATTAAAGATGATCGAAGAGGAGAATGAATTGATGAGGACGTTCAGGCATGCCAGTAGTTATTTGAATACGAAACATATGATATTTAGGAAGACAACAGCCACGATCAAAGATGGTACACGCCATGTATCCTGGGATGCTTATCTAAAACCAGCTCTACGTCGAAGAAACCTCCATGTATTACTGAAAACGCAAGCCATTTCGGTGCGTATATTTTAAAAATTTCCTAATTTTATTGACCAGTGTGTTTGGATTTCGTAAATTAAGTTTTAACAAAGATCTCTTATCCCGCGAAGCTGGACCTGCATATATTACATTAATTTTGACCTCTATTTGTTTATAGAAAAAAAGTATCAATTTTGTTAGTACCTAATTCTCATGTGTCTTGCGCCAATTCATCTACATGGTTGAGAGAAACTTTGTTTTGCAATAACAAAGATATGAGACTGTTGATAATCATAAGAGTTGTAGGTATAAGACACTAAACTTAACTACTTTATCTTCAAGCCTATAGAAATGTTGGAGTTTTAGGCAAACTATTAAGTCTTCATATGTTTAAGTATTAAGATAGATAATTTTATTTTGCAGATTCGATTTGAAAATATCACGGCATCTTCAGTTTACATACTAAGAAATCACAGAGAGCTGGACAATATATTTGTAAACAAAGAGGTTATATTAGCTGCTGGGACGATCAAGACTCCACAATTACTAATGTTATCAGGAATAGGACCTAGAAAACTGATACATAAGTATATGTTTAACTGAGTATTTTAACCTTTTGTAATTTGGAAAATATCGCAGCCTTAGATTAGTTAAATAATCTAACACCTCGGATCGATGAGCAAAGTGACACCAAATTTGGATCAATGTGACAAAAAATTTTCAAATCCTTATTTTATTTATCAAAACTAAGATGATGATTGTGGACTTTCCCATAAACAAAACTCCTCTGTTTTGTTTATGGGAAAGATGATTGTGGACTTTCCTTCTCCTCTGTGTTTTGTTTATGGGTGACATAGTTAGCAACTTCTGTTAAGACATCGTCTCCGTATATATTATAGTGCAACGGACTCTTAGTTCCACATAAGATCTTTTTAACTTCATTCACTTTTAGTGAAATATGCTTATTAGGTGGATTAATTTTGCTATGGTATGTTATGGTATGGTATGTCATTTCTGTATCTCTTTCTGATGCGGTCTCTTAAGGTTCCACATGATGGAGACTAGCCACCAAATCGAATTATTAGTCTATACGGTGACCAGGATTAATAGTTTCAAAATACAAAAAATATATTAAAATCCGTTCAGTAGTTTTAGAGATTAGCGTGTACATACAAACAGACAACGAAAAATTTTAAAAATTGTTGAGTTGTATTCTATAAAGTTTTTAGGAGTGCTCTCAGTAACTGAATCCAGTAAGACCCGGTTCGTGAGATTAATAGTTATGTATAGTTCTCCCATCCAGAACTTACATATTGTGAGAACTGGAAAGGCAGAATGTAGATACTTTAGACATATTTGCTGGAGGAAATCCAGATCCAGTTTAACTATACAATGAGCTGACCAAATAAAAGCAGAAATTGGAGATAATATATGAATGCACTAGAATATCCGTCAATAGATAAATATGGCAAAACATTTTTAAAGAAGGTCATCGACTACCAATGTAAGTGCCGCCTTGTCATGGCCACGACCACTGTCAGAAGAGACATGAATAAAAAAAATAAGATATAAATAATTATTACTTAGTATCTTGTATTTCGAGGTGCTCGATGACGCAGTGATCATCGAGCTGCCTATTCGATTCAAACAGACTTTGGAAGTTTGAGCCCCAGCAATGGAGACATTAATAAATAGGGCGGTGATGATAATGACGAAGTATACTATTAATATTCAACAGTTTTAAAATTTTGACTCGAAGTTTCTAACTTTTCTAAAATTTATATAATAAGTCATCTTAAACTATCAAAAGAATGATCATAACACTTTTACAGATTAAAAATAAAACTCGTAGCAGCTAATGAGCACGTCGGCAGGAACTTCCACGATAATATGAATATGCCAATCTACGTAAGCATCAGAAAACCTATCAGCATCACTTTAGCTAAAGTTTTCACCTTTAGCACTGCGTGGGAATATTATTCAGCTAACCGTGGTAAGATCCATATTATTTTTGTTTTAAAAAACCTTTTTTATTTTAAATCTGCAAGTAAGATTAGTATGTCTATAACAATTTAAATGAATAGACGTTCTAAATTAAACTATTTAAAATAACCGTTGAAATAATCACCTCCTCGCCAAATGGTTCGCACGCCGGTTTCAATGTGTCAGTCACCATCTCTGAGGTTGTGTACTCATCTTGGAGCTTTAGCTACTCATCTTGGAAACTAAGCAATGTATGTGATATTATCCAATATTGATTTATATAAATATGATAATGAAAATGCCAAAATGATTTTATTCCTCTCGGTCTTTGAAAAACATGCTCTGTTTAATATTTATGTGAGTTTTCAATTTGATCTCAATTTTAGTAGATAAATATTATGTATTATTAAATAATATTACATTTTTTTTTCTTGTTGTTATATTAAAGTTAAATTTTCTTACGTATTTTCAATCCAAATTACTCCAAAAATGTTCTTTCTCTAATAAGTATAACTTTTTATTACAATTTTTTTTTCCAGGCTATCTATCATACCCACCAGTGGCAGGAATAGAGTACAGTAACACCTCTTCATTAATATTGTTTTCAATGGGAACAGCTAGTGAGAGGTTACTTCGAGATCTTTCTAATTACAAACCAAAAGTAAGAACGTTTTAAAATTACTAATGTCATATGTCATCATCATCATCATCACCAACCCTTTTACGTCACCACTGCAGGGGCTCAGGCCTTCCTTATGGATGGTTAAGGAGGATGGGCCATGACCCTCCACGCGGGCCCAATGTGGATTGGAGGGTATTAACGACTGCAAATGCAGCCGAGACCAACGGCTTAACGTGCCTTCCGCAGCAAGGAGTAGCTCAAGATAATCATTTTTTGGTCACGCATCCCGTGACCAACCCTTGCGAAAGTTGCATAACGACTACGATCGCGGGCCGCGGCGCTTATCCACTACGCCACCGATTTACTCATACACGTCATATGTCATCAGCTTCCAATAGTCCTTTAATATTTTCTTCATCAGCTTTTGTCGTCCAACTACTAGATACTTTATTCCTAAACTCGTCAAATTGTTGACCCATGTCACGGTTACTGTGACACTATCTCCACTCTAGAATTCCTTTAACTTTTTTGTTTACCTTTAGTTTGTGGTTCTAGTAGTAAGTTACAACTGTTGGTTTATCGACTGATACAAAAGCAATTATTGCATTTTATTGTGACTAATATTTTTAAAAAACCCCTTTTTAGGTTTTTCGAGATACTTTTGTTTTTCACAATGACACATCCAAAGAAGGTTTCATGTTCCTCGCGAGTTGTATACAACCTAAAAGCAGGGGAACTATCACATTAAAAGGTCCCAGTACAGCAGTGCCACCTGTGGTCAACCCTAACTATTTACATCGGATCGAAGATATTAAATGCATGATCAGAGGTAACTATAATACGATCCTTGATTCATGGACTGCAATTCTGATGTAATTGAAAAGGTCCTAATCATTTCGCAAAAAATTAGGGCTAACAAAATGTCATATTTCTTAAAGCCTTCATGTGATGAAAGGTTAGTTCAAATTTTATTTGAGTAATTTAGCAGATTATAGTAAAGTAACGTAATGTGTGCTGTTGTATGTACTAAAATAAAGCATAAGACAAGTCAGTCTCCATAAGAACTAATGCTATTTTTATAGTATTACAGATCCTAGAAATTAATACCAGTTAAGTAAATATTCTTTTGTATTATTGACGACCTCCATGGCAAAATGGCTCATACGTCGGTTTAAAGGTATCGCCATCTCTGAGGTCTCGTCTTTGATTCCCGGTGGGGTCAATGTAGGAAATGAACTGTTGTTGTTATATTAATTTTGTTGTTTCAGATTTCCTTAAAACACTGTTTATATTCCGTTTCTAATCTGAGCGATTTTTGTTATTTTATTATCTTTATTTTATTTATTTCAAATTCTTTATATGAATATGAATCCTCAAATGTATCATAAAATGAAATAAATGAAAAGTTATTTATGCAGCACAGACGATATAAAATGTCTTAACGCTAGAGACACATAGACTTTTTGAAGACGGCTAGCCTTAAAGAGTTAGGGTATAGCTATTTTGGTGGTAGGTTACACTCACAATAGATATTATCCAGATCCAGTAGATTTTTGTACTCCAAGAAAACCTATAAAAACTATAAAACCTATAAAGCAGACAGACAGACAAGGTATAAGGATTTTGTATTATAACACATAGTTTTTTTATGTAAAGCCATTCGTCGTGCTGAGCAGTTAATACAGACAAAAGCTTTCCAAGACATCGGTGCTAAGATTCATTGGCCCAGACCAGAAAGATGTCTTGCTTTCTGGAACTACACAAAAACAGACCAGAAGGAACAAGATAACTTACGGAAAAGAAGGTAGTATTATTGTAGGCTAGAGAATACTGATGAATAAGTAACTAACTGTCGAATGTTGGAGAGAACTTTTATTAAATATTTCTTTAACTTATATAGGTATAATAATGTCTTTTACCCATATTATTACACATCATCATCATATAATCATATTTCATTCATTTGCAAATACCGCATTCGTAATGAATAGATAATAATAAAAGTTGACCTAAAATATAGCGCTGGTATAATATTCCAAGATGTAGAAATAATGCTAGATTGATATACAACGCGAAAGTGAAAGGTTGTAGCCACCTAGGATGGCCACGATACACCTTTTATGATCAAATTAATAATTTATGAAAAATCGCGTACTATCAGAAGGTGATGTCGGAAACCATAAAAACTGGCGTCCATGTATGAAAATAGTAATGGAAGTAAGGCATGCGAAAGATATATGACCGTGACTTGTGATACTTGGTCCTTTCTGCCTACCTAGGGATACGGCATGAAGATTCGTTAAATATTAAAAATCACCTTATTAATTTACGTTAGACGTAGTGTTAGGTGTTATCTTGTAGATTTTTATGAAATAATTGATAAAAAAGTAACTTATAAATTATCTTCTAATCATGGGATACGCCTTTCCTTTGGATAAAATAATACACCAACTGTGCTAATGATTAAGCGAAGACCAACTGCTAAACACGCTACTTGAAACAATACATATAGTCAGACAGTAAGTTTTCAAAATATTCACCAGTTTTAAAATTTTGACTCGAAGTTTCTCACTTTTCTAAAATTTGGTCATTGACATCAGGATAGTTTATTAGCAACTATCCTGATGTCAATGACCATGAAAGTTAAAAACAACATATTGTCTCAGTTTTAGCCTCTAATACTGCGACAACTCCATTTACATCGTTGTTTTTTACTGCTGATGTACTGCTGCATATAATATACCTAAATCCTATCTTCTTCAGGTTTCATACATCGCCTGAGTTAAAAAGTCCTACAAGTAAGTCTTCAAGGCTAACAAGTCCACCTGATGAATATCTAGAGTGTGTAATCAGAGAAGTGGCTGTCACCGGCCATCACGCAGCAGGCACCAGCGCCGGAGGAACTGTGGTGGACAACCAGCTCAGGTTAGGGCATCAAACCCAAAAACAATTAATGTCCTGTTAATGCTTGCCTGTTCATATTCCCACTACTGATGGCCAGGCCATGGATGGAGTCGTATAGGGAGAGATTTTAACAAAAAAATAAAATTCATACACTAAAAGCTGTACTTAATAAAGAATGAAAAACTGCATAAAATATCTATGGCATTCATATATTCAAATATGAATTTATAAAAAAGTTGATGTTGAAAAGTTGATGTTGAGTTGGTTTTTTTACTTTTTTTATGGAGAATAGTAGGTACGGAACGCTACGTGCGTGACTCTTGGCTGGTTTTTTCATTGTCTATAGGTGCCTAAGGCCCGGTTTTAATACTGCCATACTTAAGCAAATATATAACTTTAACGTTTTTAAGAAATTGCATTATAATAAGACTAATACCATTAACAGCTCTCTGTGATGTGTCCAAGTTACTAAACTCTTAAAATGACCAAACCAGGTCATTATCTTAAAGTGACCAAAACCGAATCAAATGCCAAGATTTACTGACAAATATTAACAATAAAAATAGCCATCAGCTATTAAATTTTATACTTACAAAAAATATCAAAACCACATTCAAATATGATTTGACTTTCACGAGTGCTTATCATTGACCAAATGTTATACAATTATGAATAATAATAGGTAATTGTTGTTTTTTTTTCTTTTGATTATAATTTATATGATGTCATTAGATATGGCGGTAGACCTGAAAATAATCATTTTCACTTACAGAGTCAAATCAGTGACAGGTGTTCGTATAGTGGATGCTAGTATATTTCCGTCTCCAATATCACTGTTCCCGAACTCCGTGCTCACAGGAATAGCGGAAAAAGCAGCTGATATTTTGAAAAGAGAACATTGATATTGTCACTCTAGAAGAAATATATCTGTAATTGTAACCAAGACAGACGCTGATTTGCTGGAGACACGACAGGCATGGCCACATAACCATTACAATTATTAGAACATTAGACTATTGTATTTGATAAATTTTGCGTTCACAATACAATATTAAATTTGTAATTATATTCATAATAATATTCTTTATTGCACACTACATCGGACATGTCACAAAGAAGCTTGAAAAAATAGACAAAATACATCTTATTAGTATGTAGCAATCTATTTCAGGCAACCCATAATGAAAGATAAGAAATATAAATAAATAAAGGAGGGAGGATGCAAACCGAAGGAGTAAATAGATATATAAAAGAATAAGTAAAAGAAATATAGGAAATCAAATAAAGACAAAAAATAAATACATGTTATAGTATTAGGAGTTACCAAGGCAGAAACGGAAAGTGATCAATAAAAGTATGCAAACTGCAAGCTCTCCCTATTGCTTCTGGAAAGGAATTAGTAGAAAAGAAATGACGGGGAATATCAAGGGTTAAATTTGAAAAAGAGCGTAGAAAGCAATGTGAAGGGGAGACCCGATAAAAAGCATTTTTAAGTCGTATTTAAGAAGATTGAAAATAAATCTGATACACATATTATGATTATATCTGCATATTCTGCTCATATTTATAATGAATAAAATATTTAAATTTCTATTTGAGTCTTATCTATTTCTCTTAGGTAATTAAAACTGTTGAATTTATTTAGTGTTTTAAATAAACCCAATGAGTTAATCATAAACATACTACAAAATCTAGGTCTAACCAATCGTTATAATATTACAATCCTTTGTAAGTTCGTTCCATATGAATGTAACATTTATAAATAAAAATTGCCCAATTTTTGGAGTTACGACCAAAACCTCCTTTGAAGGCTGGATCTGCATCTGAACCATAAGCGCGAATTTTTGTAACTTTGTGATTTAAGTTACAAAAATTCAAATAAAAGCTCATCTATACAAATAATACACCAAATATAGTTAATTGATAATATTTTATGTTGTTACAACTCTTCATAAAGAATTAGTTAATATATAATACAGCTAGAAGTGAAACAATCAGTTCCTTCGTTTGGGTTACATAACAACTAAGGTTGACATTATTTTTTCCATGGATTATCGGCAAAGGAAATTCTTTTGGTGGCATCTCGATGTTTAAGAAAAAATATGTTCCCTGAAATATAACAATGTTATTGTTTTTAAAACTGTTCCATATCCATATAAATGTATTTTCTAATTGGGGTGTATAAAAATGTGCGTTATTTCTATTATATGTTTGTAGTCTATATTTGCCATCAATAAAATCTTACTACTAAGAACTCAAAGAGCGATATTTGCCCACATCCGCGAGGTGGGCACAGCGGGCATAATTCGAATCGTGAAAAATTACTGACAGGCAAAATCGTTCCGTTTATTCGACGAAAACCATTGCTAGTTACTAGTCATTAGATTTAGATTAAACTATCATCTATACCTAAAGTGCAGACTTAAATAGTGCTGAAAACAAACTTGATGCATGCGCCAGAAGAAAATGGAAATTTTACGAAGTGTAAAAATCCAACTTTGCGAGCAGGCCATGTACACTGTAGACTTTAGAGCAGGCTCTTGAATACAGTGTATATGAACTATTGAATTTGAGAGTGTGCACTCAGAATGGGGTATCCGATATCTGCTTTCCGAAATTGAACCAACACGCCCACCATGAACGTCTGCCTTCTTTTTAATAATGTTGAAAAAAGTTTTGCTTTTAATAGAACGATATCGACGACTGCAAACATAGCCGAGCCTAACAGTATTACCACAGACATTATTTTGTAAAACACAGAGGAGTTCGGAATAATATATTAGGTCATCGCTCCAATTTCCGACCCCTGTGAAACTTATTTAAAATCCGCAATCGCAGATGAAACATGATTATCTTCAGCATAAATAAAACAAAATAAATAGGCAGTAGTACTTACGGGTTCTATAGGACATGTAGAAACATTCGAATATGAATTGGCAAAGTTAGCAATCCATTTCAGTTTCATCAGACTGCAAGTTTTCATGGAAAATACAATTGGGATTGGCATTGTGTTAGTACTGTACATAATCTCTACCTAAAACATGTTCCAAAAATATCGGATTATATGCAATATTTGCTAAAATTCTTCTTTCTGGTATTTAATCATGATGCATAATAATTACTCACTAATGCCTAACAGTTAGAGATAAGGTATATATTAAAACTTAATCTCTGTTGTGACAATGTTTATAAGTTAGATAGCATTTAGAACCGGGATAGGTAATTCAGAACTGGGTTGTCCAGCTGACTGTCAAGACTTTCACTGCAATGTCCCGTGTAGGTATTTCATATTTGTTATCAATTCCCCTGATCTGTTATTCGTAAAAATTAAGAATTAACCGAGAGTACATGTCCAAAATAATCGAAAAAATATAGATTGCCTAAATATAAGATACTATTTTATAACAACTGTTTGTATCGGGTAACCTTATAGTTAACTTAAAAGAAAAGTAGGCAACTTATATTCTTTTGTACTCTAGATTAATTCTCCATTTCCATGAAAAACAAATGAGAGTTAATAATAATAAAGAAAATACGCACAGCAAAAATTATTTTATAGTCCCTGATTAAGCTAGGCAATTCGGTTCTGAATTATTAATCTACATGTAACAGATGACGGGATATTTTTCTTAATTCTAATATCTTAAACTTAAAGCTAAGTTGTGTTCATCACGTGCTTGATTCTTTTAAAAAACTTTTATCATCGCCTTCTTTATTTTACGTTGGCACTTTTATATCATGCGCCAGACATATAGCTATCGTGACACTAGCCAAGGTGTCTAAAATTTCAACGCGTTGTAGTTCTGGTATTCCACAGTAGCGTGGATCAGAGCTTCCTCCTACAACACCCTAATCCAACCCCGCCGATGCGCCTATGAAAGATGATACGTAACTTGATAGTCTTTAAAGCCTCTGGTAAAAAAAGTTGCAACGATAGGCGCTCAGGCAATGAAATATTCTCAAATTTTCCCTTAGAACCTGAACTGTCAGAAACGAATTTCAGAAAATTTCAAAACCTTCTCATGATTTTATTTTATTAATTTTGATAAGCTTTGTATGTAACTTCATTAATTGATGGTCAAAATATTATTATTATCATAATCAGCTAGTCAGATATTGTGTCTGGTTAAAACTCCGTTGCGTCATAAATTATATGAAAATACATTATTCTGAAGTCATATAGCGTTTCAAAAATAGACGAAATTTCGTTTTTGGAGATACAGAGAAGGCCTACTGACCTGAATCCGACTGTTTATAACTGATTTTCAAATCTTTTTCTAAGAATTATGAATGTCAAATATATAATAATAATTATACTCACTGTGGTGTTATTTGCAAATTGTTTCAAAAGTGTTACTGTAAAATTAGTCAAATAAGACGCTCCTCTTCTAGATCTAGCTGTGTATGCTTTAGCGTTCGAGACGTATTTGTTATTATAATACGCAACTTGCGCCCTTTCTTGAATGAAATTGGACTGTAAAATAACATTACGATCTAATAAATATAACGATTGCAATTTAATTATTGTATTTGAATTAATTTATTTTATGAACAACGCCAATTTCATAGATACAGACAATATCATAAAGAAAAAAGTTTTGATTTGTCTTATTCTTGATACTTACCGCATCTAAAGTTAACCAAAAGAAAACAGATACAAAAAATAGTGAAAACAATTTCCACATTTTCTCCAAAGTAAAGTACTAACACCCGTTCCACTTTACTTACAATACTTGCAGCCAAAAATATACTCAACGCGTTATAAAATCACCGGAAACAAAACATTGTCAATTATTACAGATGTTTCGTAGTGAGTTTCAACTATCGATAAAAACTTTTTTTAAATATATAATATTTTGGTGTAATATAATGATTATTAAAACATACGAATTGAATTTTTGACTAATTTCTTTGCTTATTTTAATTAACAAAATCCTCGTTATTACTGGGAACGTTACAAAGTTACGGGAGTTACGAGAATAATTGAGGTGGTATTAAACGGGTCTCTCTTCGAATATGGGAAATCACAAATTTTCTTTAATAGATATTATTTCGATTTTGATTCATTAGAATCAGAAGAAGGTTTTGTCATTATTTTAGTCAGTTGCACGATTTAAAGTTCTAATAACTGTTATTTTGAAAATTCATATCGGTAATGTCACTTAAGTTTAAAGTTATGACAATTTTAATGGACTTTAGTGCAACGGGTGTTTAAGCTATTTCAACAACGTATAACAACATCTTAAAATATGATCGAGCGAAACTATGGTTGGCAAACGCGTCATGCTCGTGAACGGGTGTTACCAGTGAAGATAGTCTGTTCTGGACTACTTAATGTCGTTCTTTTCCATTTATTATGAATATTATGTATTAATTTGTCAAAAAGTATTATGACTCGGCAACTGGCATATTAATCGATATAAAAAAAAAATATGTTTTGTAATTTTTGATATTGTAATGGAAAGTGACTTCATTATGAAGTGACTGCATAATCTGATAAAGTCACAATAAGACTTCTCGCCATGAAAGATAAAAGGCAGAAAAAAACACTCAGTAAGGGGTGGTTTTTTCGTTTTTATCGGTTTTTCTCAATACACAGTATATAGTTAGCTGGCACACACACATTGATAGTTATATTTGTCAATAAAAATAAAATAATATGTTCTGAATGAATATTTTCCAGTATAGCATTGTGAATACGAAATTAAAGTAATCAAATATAATAAATAAGATATTCTATTAATATTGTATCGATATTTGGTCCAATATTGTTGTACTCATTATGTCGATCATTTATATTAAAAAATTAAAATAGTTTTCACATTAAATTGTGCACAGTAATGAACAATGATTAAACGTGTACCAAAAAATATCAAGTTTTCGCAAACAGTGTTTTACTTCACTTCTGAACATTAGATAAATTTCTTCGGATTCGTATTAGCATTCCGAAAATAGTTAAAATTTCATTTTC